CAGTGGTATGCTTGGGTTTGGGTTTAATTTTGTTAATTATAGGATCCCAAGCAGATGGCAGCACCCAACCATCTTCTCTATTGAAATTAGGATGTTTTTTAATTTCAATAGCCTCACGTATCATCCTTGGTAGGAATCGGTGTTCTTTTGCGAGGATTTGTGGTTTATCAAATCTGATGTAATAGTGGGGACGATCTTGAACATGTTCACAGACTGCAGACTTCCCGGAGCGTCGGTGCTTCACGTCAGCTATATGTTCTTTCACGCGGGTTTTTATGGATCTTTTTGTTTGACCTATGTAAGAGAGACCACATTCACAATCGCACAAACATCAATCACGATACAAACGCACTTAATACAATAGTACCTGGATGACCGAGCTTTGCTCGGTATGTTTTTGGAAATCGTGTTTTTTGTAAATTATATTTGGATACAAATTACAAACTGATGAAATATGAATAAAATTTTTCGATCTTCTCGATCATTATTTTTGGTCTTTTAAAAAATACTAAAAAAAAGGCTCCAAATAATATATTTCTCACAAAAGAACGAAAAAAAGGAAAAATAGTCAGACCAAAGACATTTGGATTCGAACCGGCATTCTATGATTTCAGCACCGCCCGATATCCCAATTGAGCTGTTATAACCTTTTAGGCTCAGGCAAAATTTACTTTCGTATTCTAATGATATTGTAGTAGTTTTTTCGTTGCCTAAAAGATCGATTTATTGCCCCCGAAACATGCAATATGCAGGGGTATAGCAATGGCATGCAACGATATGCAGGGGGCATACTAAATTTCATGAAAATCGTTGGAGCCGTTTCCGAGATTCCGATTATTATATATACAAGAATTGCTCGTTTAAAGGTATTGGATAAAAAACTCAAGCGTCAAAACTAGATAACTAAACTATCAAAGCTTCCAAGATGTCGCTGTGGGTGAAAATCGGCCATAAAAACGTTAAACTATAAGGTAACATAGGATTTGTGAAATCCATACAAATACTTAAACTGTTATTTTATACAAAGTACATGTAAAAACCGGTCGCCCGTTCTCCTTCCTTCCCCGGTCGAGCCGACCCATTCGTGCTACAACCATAAAATAGCTGCTGCGTGGCTCTACCATGTATATAAGTCTGTCCCTATGTCTATGAAGGTCCTTTTTCTCAGCAACATGTATCAAGAAGAACAGATGTATCAAGTTGAAATCATATCTAACACAAACGTTTCGATCGCGCCGCGGTATCTTTGAGGTGTAAAAAGTTGATGATTCTAAATCAACGCATTCAAAATATAATTATGGTCATTTACGTCACTTAATTTTGATACACGCAAATTTATTCATCAAAACCTGTAATGTACTTCCTGTTGACCTAGAATCGTGAAATTTGGCAAGATTCAAGGTCTTACAGCACAAACACAAAATAAAGCTTTATATTGTGGCACAAGTAAAGGAAAAAATTCGAAATCGTAATTTTTGGTTATTAAAAAACCGATATAATGGGAACATTTTTTCCACTGGATAGTTATGTTGATCCTCCAAAAATGCAACTTACCTCTTCTTTAGAGCAAACCATTACTGGGATTGTTTCTTTTTCGTTGAAGAAATGAACGTAAAATCCACTTGATGGTAAGTGAATGGTGTAGCTCAAAGAACTGCGTATATCTATCTCCAGTTAAAAATCAAAATGTTTTCCATCCATACCATCTGAATGCTTGGCGGTCCACCACTGCGATATCCAGAAATTCTCTTTCACGGCCGGCTGCTTTGCACAATCACCTATTACCAGAATTTTTGCTGGGCCGATACAACCCTTCAAAAAAAGGTCGGCAACCTGCAATTCCTCTGCTGTTACAGTTCTTGGAAAGCGGTAGTCACCATCAGGTGAACCGCATGATTGGTTAGAGAGGCCTTTCTGTATACAATGTAGGACCGTTATCACCGCTACCCGTAAATAGGGTCTTACAAATCTATGTCACCTAATCATGGTTTACAAATCACCTTGAAGACCTTCGATTTTTTTTTTATAGAATAGGGTGACAAACGAGCACGCAGTCCACCTGATGGTAAGTGGTTGCTGCGGCCCAGAGACATCTACATCTATCCTCCATTAAAAATCAAAATGCAGATGCGTTGTCACCCGTGAGGACTGAGATGGAATGCCTCGTTTCCAGTAAAAAGGGTCTCCGGTTCTCTACACTCACCATACGAAATACAGCAGCATTAAGCTACTATTTCACGCTGGTATTATGTGAGAGCGTGGTCCCTCCCCGGTCGAGCCGACCCATACGTGCTACAACTATACTACTAATATAACTGCAGCATGGCTCTACCACGTAAAAAAGTCCTCAGCTTCGATCAACAGTTGATCGAAGCTGAGGACTGATGATGTCACCTGTGATTGCATTTTAATTACGGTGACACTTTCTCTTTTTTTAAATTCTCCAAAACATTTCGTCTAGGCATATTGTTGTCGCTTATCGGTCTCAATTTATTATTTTATGTCTAACCTCACAATTAAGCAGACGGCCACGAAAAATTTGCAACATTTCTTTGGCTTCTCTTAATAGAATTTGTCGATATCCATTGTCAGCATAAAACGGAATGACGTAACATTTAAGATGGTACCTTATTTTGTCTGTCTATTTCTTACTTCTTAGAAATATAAGTTAATATATGGTGGTGACACTTTCTCTTGTTTAAATTTTCTAAGAGTTCCTATATAGACAATGTACATATATATTATTAGTATTTTTTATATAAAAAGAATGACTAATAAGCACTCTGTCCACCTGATGGTACGTGTGCATAGAAATCTAGTGGGAAGAGGCCCATACACATTTACATTTATCTTTATTTAAGAATCAAAAAGTCACTCTTGAGGACTAATTTGAAATGCACCATTTGCATTAAAGGGTCTCCTGTTACACACACCACATGAAACAGCCTCATTAAGCTGCTGTTCCCCGGTCGGGCCGACCTATTCGTGCGTCAACCATAATATGAGTGTAATGTACCACGTATAAAAAATTATATAGTGTGTAGATAGAAAAATAATAGTAATAACTCTGTGCTCCTGCTCTCTAAACACTAATACCCGATTCCTATATTCAAGAAACATTTCATTCTTCATTGCGATCTATTTTATTGTATTAAATAGATAGTTAGGTAGATAGATAGCATAGATAGATAGCACTTGATTGTATGCCAAAAAAATATGAACATAAAAGGAGAAAAAATAAATGTGGTACAATGCGCGGTCTTATTGCTTAGAACGATCTCTTCCAGACAACCTTTGGATGGACAGGATTGCAATAAAACAATAAAAATATGTATTTTATTTTTATTTTATAGTATAAAGTGACAAAATAGCACACAGTCCACCTGATCGTAAGTGTTTGTCTCGATCCTCGATTACGAATCAAAATGCAGATGCGTCGTCACCCCTGAGGACTAAGATGGAATGCCTTTTTTCCAGTAAAAAGGGTCTCCGGCTTCTACACTCACGTTCAAGCCTGTTGTGTGCTCGGTCATTTCTGCTACAACTATAGATTTAGCTTGGTTCTACCACGTGAAAGATCTACTTATCTCGCCGCTAACTGTAAATTGCCCTTACAAACTCTCTTTTCAATAAATATCTTTAAACGTTTTACTCTAGGGTCTAAGGAATAAGTCTCCTCTAATATTTGAGGAGTGTTTAAGTGGTCGAGTCACGCTGACTGTTTAAGTGGTCGAGTCACGCTGTGACTGTTTAAGTGGTCGAGTCACGCTGTGACTGTTTAAGTGGTCGAGTCACGCTGTGACTGTTTAAGTGGTCGAGTCACGCTGTGGCGGTATGATAGTCCAAAACAGCACTAATGTGGATAAGGACCACGTTTTCACAGAATACCAGCGTCAAAGAGCAGAATAATTATTATACATTTATAATTATTTTGCTTTTTTAAATAATTATGACTATACGTGGTAAATCCATGCTGCAACTACTATGGTTGTAGCATGAATGGGTTGGCTCGACCGTCGAAGAACCACGCTTTTTTTTTTTTATAGAATAGGCTGACAAACGAGCACACAGTCCACCTGATGGTAAGTGGTTGCTGCGGCCCATAGACATCTACATCTATCTTCCATTACAAATCAAAATGCAGATGCGTTGTCACCCGTGAAGATTGAGATGGAATGCCTCATTTTCAGTAAAAAGGGTCTCCGGTTCTCTACACTCACCAATACAGCAGCATTAAGCTACTATTTCACGCTGATATTCTGTGAGAGCGTGGTCCTTCCCCGGTCGAGCCGACCCATTCGTGCTACAACTATACTACTAATATAACTGCAGCATGACTCTACCACTTAGAAAACTACCTCTCTCACAGAATACCTGCGTAAAATAGCAGCTTAATGCTGCTGTGTTTCGAATGGTGAGTATAGAGAACCGGAGACCCGTTTTCTGGAATCGAGACAATTTATATTAGTCTTCAAGGGTGACAACGAATCTGCGTTTTGATTCTTAATCGAGGTTAAATTTAGATGTCTCTGGGCCACAGCATCCTCTTACCAGGTTATCAGGTGGACTGTGTGCTCGTTTGTCAGCCTTATCTTATAAAAAAATTACCTGAGGCTGGTGATGAAAACGGCAACCAACCAGTTAACATTTGTGGAATATTGTAAGGTTTAAAAAAAAAAACTTAACACGCATTGATCATGAGGTGTGATGATCCTGATAATTATTTTGTTTTAGCCTTGTGATCCTGATTAAGTTACTAGGATAAAGTTATCAAATTATTGTATTGTCATCGTTCCTTGATATCGGTGCAATGGTACGTGAAGCTAATTAAATCATGTTGAAATGTGATTGTTCCCTTTCTGACTTCACCTATTCTAACCTACTCACCATAGGACATAAATTTGTTGGCACACTTGAGGCATCATAATATATCCTACGCAGATTGCTTCTAGTGATCGCAGGAGGATATCATAATTTTATAATATGCTTCTCATTTCCAGCCATCAGTGATGCTTCCAATCTGGACGTCGGAGTTCCTCCAGGCGGTCTCCCGTATGGATCCCAAATTTATCGCCCTACATCTTCAAGAAGTCGGCGGAAAGACTTACGAAAAGTCGATGCAGTATGTCCAGGACTTCGTGCAACGGCTGTGCGACTGTCCCGAGCTGAGGCTGTATGACAAGATAAGAATTTTTCTAGATGAGGACTTCAGTTCACCGGAGAAGTTCACGGTAAGTGGCTGTGGTTATATTTCGTTATTTTTTTTTCGCGTGTGTCCCATTACTAGATCAATAGCTAATATGGCTAATAGGCTAAACCTGAAGTACGTAAGTAATTAGCGATTTCATGCTAAAACGACAAGTAACAAAGGCGATTAACTGTCCAAACGGTTCACCTCACCTACACGTTAATGCGTATTAGCACTAAAACTAAGTCAGTGATCAAGATTCGTCCTGCGGACTACGTTATTCAACTCGTCAGCTGTTTGTTGTCTTTATCAACTTTCTTATATTAACACAATTTACATAACCTCTTACTATTTTTTTATTAACTGGCTTTACTGCTCTGGGTTCTAGCCCTTCTGAGACTATCATTTCTTTCGGAATCTTTATTTTATATACTCTTTCTTCACAATATGCTGATGCGTCACATTGCGAAGTTCTTGGGAGATTTTGACGACAGCTCAACCTAGCGGACAGTTAATGACGACAGCCACTCAAGTTTGTAAGGTCCCAAGCGATCAAAATAACTTGAGGTTTATATCGACATCAAAGCACTTGTTTCGTCTTTTTCTCTAATAGTTCACACGTGCGGACACTTAATTCACAAAATCGCATCACTTTTACGAATTAAAATCCACTTCAAACCATTATTCAAGTGACAAAACAGGAGCGACAATCCGTCTACAGACAGCCAAGTTCCCGCCAAAACTCCAACCTCTTACTAATTTCCCTGTGGATAAAACTGACACGATGTGGAACAGTATAACGTGTCGCGATATTTTGTAATTTCTGTTATATTATTTAGTGACTTAGATCGAATCCCGTCTAAAACTAATATAGATTTTAATGAAATTGAAAGCCACTTTAATTAACTAAAAATAATACAAATAATTTTAACTTATGAGCTGCTGCAGGCGGTGCTAAGACTTAGTTCCCCCGGATTGAAAGGGTAGCGGGTGCTATGCGTAGACTGCTGCCCAATACAGGGGGACCAAGTTGAGAAGTGCGTCACCTCTATGCTGGTGTCATACAATCCGTCGCCTTGTACGGGGCGCAGTAGAAGTAAAATCTACAGTATGCAGCGGAGGATGACCATACGGATGGCACAGGCAGTTAAATATGCAAGTTTTTGGTGAATAAGTAGCTCAAGTTGACTGTAAAACACTTCCTCCAGTAGTGTATGAGGCAGTGGAGTACGATCCTTTGTCATTTGGGCGGGCGGATAATGGCTGCGTGGAACCGCGTAGGATAAGAAGGAGTATCTTCCAGGGCAATTGTTTGAGTCATATTCTGGTTCTGACTCTCTCTGAAGTCAGAGGAATTGAAATTAAGTAGACAATTAATTAAAAATTGAATTCCTCATTTATATTTTTTTTTTATTATTAAATAAGTGGAAAAAGGAATGTCAATGTTCAATACGCAAAATAGTTTTCTCGTGGTAGAGCCACGCTGCAGCTAAATTATAGTTGTAACACGAATGGGTCGGCTCGACCGGGGCACGACCACGCTCTCACAGAATACCAGCGTAAAATAACAGCTCAATGATGCTGAGTTTCGTATAGTGTGTGTAGAGAACCGGAGACTATTTTAACTGGAAACAAGACATTCCATCTTAGTCTTCAGAAGTGACATCGCATCTGCATTTTGTTTCTTAATTGAGGAAAAATGTAGATGTCTATGGGCCTCAGCGTCCACTTGCGACGATCAGATAGACTGTGTGCTTGTTTGTCACCTCCACTTTATAAAAAAAAACAAGCAAAACATAAATGTTTTGCTTCCTTAGTGGTGAATTTTTTCTCTTAATTTACGTGGGATCAACCCTTAATTATTATAACCTTTTTAATAAAAAATAGTTATCAAAATCGTTTCCAATGGACGAAGAATAGGAGCACCTCTGAAGAAGATATCGTGTAACAGTAAAATACATACAAAAATATGTACAATCTTATTGAGAACCTCCTACTTTCATCGGCTTAAAAGTAGAATAATGGAAAGAAAAGTGAAATGTAATATCCAAGCCTAGCCTATACAATCGTCCTACAATTGAATATAGACCACCGTTCATTCTCGAGTGCTTTTAAGCTGGCTATACATGTTGGCGGAGCGAAGGCTATTACCAACGTATAGACAGACCATTTGTCTAGCCTCGCCATTGCTCGTCGTCGTTCGCCTAGATGGCCGAGTGCAGATGCAGGTGCAGTGCCAACTATACGGCTCGTTTGGCGTGCCTGGCCACCACTCGGGAGCGCTCGCTATGACTCGTCTCATTTCGGAACAGTGTCGATTTTTCTGCGCAAATCATAGACAATTTGTGTCCACATGTTGGCCATTCAGTATGTTCACTCATTCAAACTTGGTCAACATGTAGACATGTAACTCTCGCTGTGTATTATATTGCCTACGCTCGCGTTGGCTGAACCGTGGCCAACATGTACTGCCGGGGTTAGAGTTTTCGAATGCATTTTGTTTTGGCGGATTTCATATAAATAAAATAGAAGAGCTTATTTACATGTTACGAGTATTATGACATGAGAATAACCATTTTTTAAAATTGTCCGTCTTTCTATACGGAATATTCTTTGGGAAGGTTGAACCGATTTTAAGGAAACTTGAGGAACAGATAGACTGCAGTTCCAGAAGCGATCTATGTAGGTTATATTTTATGCGAAAAAGATACTTTTTTGAGAAAAGTAATAATTGATAGAATAAGAGCTCTTTGATCTAAATAACGTTCGAAAATTTGGCGGTTTTTCTATTTAACATATTTTTTTAAGTTTTATAGATTACAAACCAAAATTTATGGTATATGATTTTTAACTATATGACCTTGGATTGCATAAAAGGAAAGCACGATATCATGTCATTTTCTCGATAGAAAAAAATTGCAAAGTAGGCTCTAATTATTTACATTTCTCGATGACACCACAATATTATTAAGAATAATTTCATGGAATTATTTTTAAGGCATAGTAAATAATAATATCTAAGTTCTCATGAACCAGTTTTTTAATCCATAACGAAGTTTTGTTAAAATAAATAAAAATGTTGTTTGGCGCTTACTTAGTTTTTTTTCCGAACGCTTGCTCGGTATGGCTTATCTCATAATTAGCGTACTATGAAGTCATTGCATCACTTTCATTTTGACATACCGCAGTCGTCCGTGAGCTTCACCGACAGGTAGCAACGCCCCCAAAACTTCGATTACCACTTTTCAAGGTATCCTCTTAACATATCCAGGCCAATCAGGGGCGGCTAGCTCCGGAACGCACACAGCTTGTGTGCTTACAACTATTTTCTAAAGAATGCGGGATGCATGATGCGTTGAATATTAATATGAGTATTTTATTAATCACTACAGTACGGGATTGTAACTGATGTTGTGAGACCCGAAGAATGCGTTCAAAGGATTACTTTAATAAGTTTGCACAAAACGGAATTCCCGTAGTACACTTTTATTATGGAAATTCAGAATCATGACTGCCCATTAGTCCATTACTCTATTCTATTTGTAATCGACTTCTACATGAATGAACTTAACTTCATAATGTTAAATTGCATAAAGCAAACCACATTGTGTACGTTAGTACTTTCCCGCTACTTTGTGACGTTACTGTTGCATTCCAACGAACGCAGGCTTCTTGGTAACTTTAATGAGTAATCAAAACAGAAACCGGCATTTCCTTGTTTACTTGCGAAGTAGGAAATATTTTAGTAAATTAAATTTTATTATATACTATATAGTGACTAAAATAGAACGTTTGACGTAGGTAATGTGATCAAATAAAATAGCATTCCGTGGTAATATGCTTGACTGATAGTTTTAAAAACTTTTCATTTCATTCATTTATCTATGATTTTACGCAGCATTTACATTTGGCAACCTAATAGTTAAGTGTACCTAAATTAGTTGTGTCAGTAGAATCGGGCGTTACTTTGCGGAAATCCATTATATTAAAGATGTTAACAGTTATTTCGGCCATCCGCTCAATAAAATAAAATGAAGTGTCTTACATAGTTTGAAACGCACCTTCCGTCCTCCCTTAATTGCGTGCACTAATCTCGGCACCTCTACTCGTGTAAAGGCGAAACACGTGTCGTATTATCGTCGATGGTGTTTCTTCCTAGAGTAGTAGTCTTGGGAGTAGTAGTGCTGGGATTAGTGGTGACGGGATTAGTGCACGCAATTGAGGAAGAGCGGGAGTTGCTGTTCAAACTAGGTAATACACATCATTTTATTTTATTGAGCGGATGGTTGCGAAATAACTATTAACATCTTTAGTTATGTGTCAACAGTGGAGCCTATTGATTTAAAAAATAAACTTTTAATTTGACATTTTTATTTTTAATGTTTATTTCTACCGACAACAACCCCAAAGTCCCGACATTTTCAAATTTTCTTCAGATATTTTGGTATTTCGATCTGGCATTCCTAAGTAAGGATTTAGACTCACACGCCCCGAGCCTTGCTAAAGGTTTAGGGCAGAATTTAGGGGCAGCGAAAAAAGGCGTTTATATATTCCTATATTCCAAAACTAAATGGAGTTTCTGATTAATAGTTTTTTTTTATAAATAACAGACAAACATTATTCACGGGTAATTTTTTAAGCCAGATTAAATCAGAAATTATGCACCGTTACTCTAAGAATATTTCACGTAATAATTAAAATTTGGCATAGTTATAAAATACGGTTATCCAAATACTGACAAAAAGGTTTTAAATTGGATTAGTTTGTATAAGGTGGCAAAAAGTAAAGTTGCAAAAATATTTTTATGCAGAGTATCAATTAACAGCTCCATAAACATTGATTAAAACTACTTTTACGGATTTTATCGCATTTATTTTAATTTTAATTATTTTTATTTTTAATTCCCGACGTTTCGGGTGCTTTCCAGCACCCATGGTCACGGGGGACTGAGGTGACTGACGTCCCGATGTCATTGTTAAACCCGGAGTGCCTTCAGCTTTTTTAATTATTGTTTATGGTCCGATCTATGCAAAATGAACTGACTATGTCCTGAGGTCTTGCAGTGGTATGCTTGGGTTTAGTTTTACATAAACACTCACGCCTGTCACCCAGAGGGGTAGGCAGAGACTACGGACTTCCATTTGGCACGATCCTGACATACCTCTTTCGCCTCCTTTACATCCATATATCTACGCATACATGCTCGTCGGTTAAGGGTACTTCTAACGTGGCCCATTTTCAAAATATCGCCAATTTGGTCGATAAACTTTTTCCTAGGGCGTCCCTTCCCGACTCGGCCATTCACATCTGCCATATAAATTTGCTTTGTCACTCTTTCCTCATTCATTCTTTCTACGTGACCAAACCACCGAAGCATTCCTTTCTTAATCCTGGTCACAACATCATCTTGCATACCACATTTATCTCTTATCACGCAATTTCTCACCCTGTCATTCAGATTACACCCTAGCATATTCCTTAAAGACCGCATTTCTACAGCATTTATTCTACTTTCGTGCTTCTTCTGCCACACCCAGCTTTCACTACCATACATTAAAGTAGGGACTAACACAGCATTATGAATTACCATACGTGCCTGTTTTGACAAATTCTGGTTCTTCATAATAGAGTGTAGTGCCCCATTCACTCTATTCCCTGCATTTCATTAGTTTTAATTTTATTGATTATAGGATCCCAAGCAGGTGGTAGTACCCAGCCTCCTTCTCTATTGAAATTAGGATGTTTTTTAATTTCAATAGCCTCACGTATCATTCTTGGTAGGAATCGGTGTTCTTTCGCGAGGATTTGTAGTCTATCAAATCTGATGTAACGGTTGAGGCAGTCTAGGATATGATCACAAACTGCAGACTTCCCGGAACGTTGATGCTTCACATCAGCTATATGGTCTTTTACGCGGGTTCTAATTGATCTAAAGAGCGTAAAAGAACATATAGCTGATGTGAAGCATCAACGTTCCGGGAAGTCTGCAGTTATTATTACTACGTTAGAGCCATGCAGCAGCTATATTGTGGTTGCACGACGTTGAAAAGGAAGCATTCCATCTTAGTCCTTACGGGTGACAACGCATCTGCATTTTGATTCGTAATCAAGGATAGATGTGGATGTCTATTGGCCACAGCAACCACTTACCATCAGGTGGACTGTGTGCTCGTTTGTCACCCTATCCTATAAAAAACTTCACCTCGGTACCAGCTAGCGACATCTGGTTAGTGGAAGGTTATTAACCCTCATTAGCCTGCTACTGGCTTATAATATTTAACAAGGAATTTGGAAACAGGGGCACAATCACAGATATGACCATGCTTACTCGAAAGTTAATGATGATGCCTTGTACAATCTTATTAGTTGCGATGGCATCATGACGGTGAAACCTGGGATTTTTACCAACTAGTTTTACGAGAACAGAATGACAAATAATATTACAGTTAAAAAAAAACTTTACATTTTTTTAGCATTGATTATCAGCGGTGATGACACTAAGAATGTTAGATGATAGTCTTGAAATTATTGTATTGACGACGTTTTATAAATCGTCTGCTAAATTTCAGATGATGAAATTATGTTATTTATGTTACATTCAATTCAAACTAATTAAATATATCTAATTTTTTAATGCGCCGTATGACGTACCTAATGGATGTAAAACACTTAAAATTGGCAGTCTAGACCAGGCTCCCGTTGCAAAATTAGTTTAAAAATCCTATGTCTCTAGTTTTTCCCCTATTGATACAAAATACTTACTAATTTAAAAAAACTTTGCGGTTGGTTAAGTGATAAACTTAGAATGTTAGTAATTTTGGTTGTCAGTTAGTACATGTAACACAACTTCTACAGTATTTATATTGAAAGTTTCAAAAAAGAACTTGTGTTAATTAATAGGGTTCGATTTTTAGATCTCGCCGACCCCCAGTAGTTATCGACCACTTTGGGAATCTCTGGTCTAGACTTCTTAAAAATGTAGCAATTATAGTTTTTACAACTCTAGAATATTTTCTTGCTTGTAGAGACAGTTTGCATACATTAATTTCACAAGGACAAACATTCAGACCCGGAACAATTGTAGCCCATACACCCATACAATTACATGCTCCGTGCGGAATTCGAACCCGCGTCCCTCAGCTCCACGACTCATTGCTGAGCAGCGGAGTCGTCAAATAATAACCGCGTTACATCAAATTATTTTTACCTGTTTGTTACAGGCATTGGGCAACATGTATTTCGCGCATTCCACACTAACCGATATCAAGATCTGGGACTTTGAGGCGAAAGGCTACGTCGAAGCTGTGGGGAAGGAAGTTAACAGCGGCAACATTGAAAAGGTCACCACCAAGGAGAAAGTGAAATTTCCGCAGCATTTCTTCCCTGAAGTAAGTCTAATTCTTCGACAGGAATCACTTCACAATTATCATCATTACAGACTACGAGGGCGGCACTGAAAATTTCGGGAATCAAGGAAGTGACACAACATTACTATTTAAAAATGTATTTATCGCTTTTCGAAGTATTCTCCGCGAAATTTGACACATTTTTCCATACGATGGAACCAATCATTGAAGCAACCATTCCATTCGTAAGTTGGGGTCTCCAAAATGGCCGTTTTGTAGGCGTCCACAGCTTCTTCAGGTACGAAAATCTCTATCCACGCAATTTATTCTTTATTTTAGGGAAAGTATAGAAATCATTAGGGCTTAGGTCGGGGCTGTACGGCGGATGGTCTAATAATTCTATGTTTTCTTGCTCTAAAAACTCTTTTGTTCTGTGTGCGGTGTGAGAACTCGCATTGTCGTGATGGAGGATGATGCGGCGGTTGTAGTTCTCTTTACGGAGTTCAGAAACGACCTGTGGCAAACAAATGCTAGCATACCATTCTGCATTAACCGTTCTTTGTCCCTCAAGAGGAATAGTCGTAACATGGCCGGTTTTCGAGACAAACGTGGCCACCATTTTTTTGCAACACTCCGTGAACGAACAATTTTTGTTGGCTTTAACTCATTTTCGAACACCCAAACTTGTGACTGGTTTTTTGTTTCGGGTTCGTACGAGTATATCCAGGATTCGTCACCTGATACGATGTTGTATACATCATTTGAGGATCCTTCGTGGAATCTTTCGAGAGTTCTGACGCACCATGTACGCGAGCCGCTTTTTGCTCTTCACAGAGTGAATGCGGTATCCATCGGGAAAACAACTATTTACACCTAATTGTTCATGCAAGATTATTTGTATTTGACTCATGCCAATGTCTAAAGTTGCCTGAATTTCGCGGTATGTCACATGTGACTTTGGACTCTTGGGTGACTGCAGTTTTTGGACGACCTTGACGGGGATCATCACTGAGCTTGACACGACCACGTTGAAATTCAGCAAACCAGCGATAAATTGTGGTTTTGGATGGGGCTTCATCACCAAATGCAGACATCATTCGGTCAACACACTGTTTTTGTGTTAAACCACTTCGAAAGTCATAATAAATCATCGCTCTTGAATTTCTCTCGAGTCAATTCCATTTTCTCAACGACTAAACAAGTTTGACAAAACCTTGTGACAAGACCGAGAATCTTTTTTTAATAAATAAATGGTATTCGATTTTTAAAACCAAGGAGTTTTCAATTAAAAAGATTTTAATATGACAGGAACAGTGGAAATATTCCATTCCCGATACTTTTTTGCAGCCTAGGTATCAAAAGTACACTGCTGAACATGACACTCCCTTTCCCACGATGGATATCCTCACAGGTGGGTTACCAGTTGACAGGAATTTTCCTGACATGTCCGGAATTTTAGCCCCCTCTTAGTGAAACAGGAAAAATTTGAAAATCTTAGGAATTTATGAATAGAAAGAGAAAAATATAAGAAAAACAAATTAAAATACAAATTAAAATCAATCCCAAAAAATAATAATTAATGAACACCATCTCAACAATAACATTGTTTCTTTCATCTGATCTGGCCCTTACTTTTATTGCCCAATAGCTCAATTCACAGGAGGGAATTTGCTATAGTTATCAAACTAAGCAGGCGTTTTGGCAACCGCAGTTTGGCAAATGGGCAGCAGGATTTTCCTGGTAACAGCTTTATAAAAAATAAAGAAACTACGGTTGTCCGTCCGCCTGCCGAGTGTTGCAACTTGCGGGAGGACTTCAGATTAGGTGTAATTATAATGGTTATTGAAGTAAAACTTCTTTAAGCACGCTTGACTTGAGGAGTAAGCTGGCGAACGCGTTACGAAAAGTGTGATCGGGGGAGGCGAACGGGAGTTGAGTGGGGGATATAAGCAAGAGAGAGCAGTGCACGTGCACATTTTCTTTCTCACTTTCTCTCATAGCCAGTTATTTTTCGTAATTTTATTTCGTTTTGAACAATGTTGTGAATTAATATTTTGTTCAATACATTAAATATTCTACGTTTAAAGTGAATAAAATTGTAAATTGATTTTATAGTTTATGTTTTGTAGAAAATTTTCGGGTGAATATATATATATATATATATATATATATATATATATATATATATATATATATATATATATACAAATGGAGCTAAAGATGTTTTACTTCAGTCGTGTGGTCATAAGTTTTTTTTTAATAATTCTTTATTGCATTCCTTATAACAAAAAAAATACAAATGGATGACTTGATGTCAGAGTGTGAGGAGAAAATGTGAAGCATTTTCTACCAGTAAACCCATGAAGTAGTGAGAATTTAACGTAGGTGTAGCAATATATAATATAAAACCAAATAAGAATGATATTTGAATACAATTCGCTGTGCAGTTTCACAGTACGCGAGCATTCCGGTGTTTTTTTTAACATCGGTGTTTTTACGTGGTATAGCCATGCTGCAGCTATATTATAGTTGTAGCACAAATGGGTCGGCTCAACCGGGGCAGGACCACGCTCTCCCGGAATACCAGCGTAAAATAGTAGGTTAATAATGAACCGTTTCCGATAAACTAGGAAAATACGATTCTCAACTTTTGTCAGTATTATTAATATATCTCGTTCTACTACATAAATATAATTTTGCCGCGGACTTTAATACGGTTACAATAACTTTGGCCCGCAGTGCAAATGGTCGCGCAAAGGTTTCCTGCGCACGCGCTGGCTTCTCCGCGGCACCGCGGTGGAGTTTGTGAACATTCACCTGTTCCACGACGCCTCTAATTTGCTCGCTATGGAGCCGTTTCCATCGGTAAGTACGTTCAGAGTTGACTTCTTAGCTTGAACGTCTTAAATTATGAGCAAAATAAATAAGGAAAGGGGTTGGCTCGACCGGGAAGGCCCAAGCTCGCGTAGAATACATAACTTACATAATGGTCCGGAAGCTTATGACGCATTTTTCGTGAAGTGTTTGATGCATCATGAAACTTTGTTGAAAGTTATCAGTCCACTTAATAATCAGGTATATGACTGTTTACCTGGCCTACCTGGGTACACCTGGTACTGCGCACACAGGTAAGTCGCAAAAATCGCCAAGAAAAAGTGTTTAATTGAAATAATAATGATGATCATCCATCAGCTAAGTTGATAAAGAATTAAGAAAAGAAAGTGGCGGACACTTCTGAAGGGGTTGGCATAGTGAAAAACCCCAAAGTAGTATTTTCAAAAATTCCAATTAAAAGTGTTTGATTTGATCTTCCATTGTTACAGCGAGTTTATTATATATAATAAAAATCTCACAAAAGAGCAGACAGTTTCTGCGGGGGTTAATAAATTTAAAATACATAAATAATCCCGGTCAATACACATCCCAAATACACATACTCATCCACTTGCTCAATCAACTCCCCTTCTATTCTTACTTCACTTAACATTTTACTTTCAAAAACTGTCACTTTCGTCCTTCTTGCGTTCACTTTCTTTTAATGACTAGTTCATTAATGTAACCATCATTGGCAACTCGGCCGCCGATGAAAATATGACTTTATTATCCGTGTACAGAAGGCATTTTATGGTTAACTCGCCCATTCTAAACACACATTTTTTACTTTTCAAAGTTTCCAAGCAATTGGCTATAAATAGGTTGAACAGCCACGGGGAAGCTACACAGCCATATCTGACACCTTTTTGGATACCAAAGTAGTCCGAGTAGACCCCGTTAATCCTGACACAAGCACTAGAGATACGGAGACCTTAATGTCTGTATCAAACCAGCGCTCAACCCAAATGTGATCAAATTATGTTATTTAAGAGGCCTGTGTTGTAGCATAACACAGTCATCTTAAATAAACACAGTCTGTCTACTCTGTCATAAGCCAAGTTCATAAACGTACAAAGAGCTTTCTGGTTTTTGGGAGAGAACTTCTCCGCGACCATGCGCAAGGAAAACACTTGATCTGTACACCCCATTCCCTTTCTTCTAACTGCCTCGTTGGTCTAGTGGTTGTAGTAGTTCGACTGCTGATCATGAGGTCTTGGGTTCGAATCCCGGCGAGCCAAAAAATAATTATTGAGTTTTTCCGTCAAGAAATTCTCAGTAATTGCCCGGAGTCAGGAAGTTGGCGGTGTCTCACCCCCGTGCCTCAGAAAGCACGTAAAGCCGTTGGTCCTGCGCCTGATCTTTCTCCGGTCGTGTCGGTTTACCGTAACATCGGATTATGAGAGTGAGGGAATAGAGAGTGCACCTGTGCTTGCGCATACACTAGCTCACTACAATTATCCTGTCTAGCTGGCTAGCCTCCGTTGAGAGTAGCCGCCGTGATCGAAACTCGGTCTGGAGAACATTATCATTATTATTACATAGGTACTTACATACTAAGCATTTTTAACATAAAATAATTTATTAATTTATGTGGTTACACTGGAGGACATATTTCTTAATTTGACTACCTACCCTATTCTATGGTCTAAATTTGCTAAAATATTATATTCTAGGTATACTGTCGCAGTCGACGGCGTGCCTTGCGGCACACGTTACGTCATTTACATTCAGACGCGAACGCGGCACCTTATTTCATATTTGGTGACTTTAACTTCCGCACGGATACGGGAGGTGTAGTTAAGGTAACGTTTATAATTATTTAATCTTCTTGATCCGAAGTTAAACCCCTTAAATTCTATTGTAGTAATTGGTTTTAAGGAAGACCCGACAAGCATAAAGTTAGTATTTTTATTCGGGTAGGTGACAAGTGTACCTTGTGGAAGCTTCGCCAGATAGCATTACAATTTTTTGTGATTAATAATTGACTAATTGGATTTGATGGATTTTTGAAGTTTGAAACATAAGTTATTTACATCAGTTATTACAATTTTATTCTAAAATTTCTAATTATTATTATTTAATCACTGTGGCTCAGGGGCTAAACGCTCGCTGTAAATTTCACAGTACGCGAGCGACCCGGGTTCGATCACCGGTGGCACCAATGAAATTATTAATTGCCATTTTGTGTTGATTTACCATGTGCTCGAAGTAAGTTGCAGTGGACGAAAACATCGTGAGGAAGCCCGCATGTTTAAGAAATAAGAAAAAAATATTTCGACGACATTTGAAGTTTGTCATCACGCAGTAGGCCGCATTTGGTGATGAGGACCATTTTTCTTCCTAGAAGTCTTAGGCATAAAGACGTAATACATAATTAAGAGTAGTTACTTTTTTTGTGCCCCAAGCAGATGTACATACGTGTACTGCTGTGTTCCAGTTCCGGGCATTGAGAGCCTGTCTGTGGAAGATTATGTTTAAGGCAAACTAGCCACTTGTCTAGGGGCGCAAAGTTACAAAGGGGCGCGCGTGGAAAATTTTAAACGAAGAATAAATTAAGTATCTACTTACATAAAATAAAAGAAAGTAAATATTACAGTCAATCGGGGTAATTTTAACAAGGGTAACTTTGACAGTCAAATCGCAAAATACTCTTTTATTTTCTACGCGAACAACATTTAGTGACATAACATTGAATTTATACAATGCGTGTACTTAACAAACTTCGTAAACGAACTGTCCAGAAAAAAGTGGCTGTCAAACGAAGTTAACTTCAAAAACTTATTTTAAAGTACCGTGCGCAACTGTTGTCTTTTTGCAGTGGTAAAATTTTAAAGAGAAATTTTAATGTTGATTACCAAAGTTTAAATAAAGATAGTACTACAATTTTATGGTTTTATTGACTTGTGTATCTATAAAATGTTTGAAAATTATGATTCCTGTGACAAATCTCATCTGTGTCAAAGTTATACATATATTTATAACTTTGACACACAACAAAATTGCCAGTTTTTGATATATTCTATGAATTTCATAGACGTTAAATAATTTGAGAGTACGAAAACGTACCTGAAAGCACAGATTAAGTACACTCTTTTGTCTCATATTTAACATAGTAAAAGTTATATATAAATAGTTGCTATGCCCTTGCAGGACGTCACATGTATACCTATCAAAATTCTTCTTCATCTTAAATTTATAATGTGACATGCAATAAACAATTTGAATTTGAATTATACAAAAATACAGTGATGATCTGTCGAAGTTACTCCGATTGACTTTACATTTTTAGTTCTTTTTAAATAAAATTTACAAAAATACCGTAAATGGCTGGCGTACAGGGGAATGCGCGTTACGAAATGCTGTCAAAGTGTTAATAAGTGATGAATATTAAATGACCGGGTCGGGTCACTTAAAAACTATTCTAAAATAAACAAAACTTTGGTAATTTCAAACGTAGACAATGTTGCAGAAAGTGACGGAAGAACTGACGGCGTGTCGATTGCAAAATGGCGCGAACGTGGACGCATCGAAGTTGCAGTATCGATCGGAGACTGACGACAGGATCGTGCTGACTATTGGGAAGAAAGAATTCGCTCACGTGGATCATCAGAAGATATTCAGAGAGCCTTGGGTAAGTTTTTACAATCTCTTTCTCTTTCATATTTGGTACTAGCCACCCGTCTCGGTTTACCCTGGGTGGGGTGGGGTTTATAAAATTTACGATTTCACAAAAAAAAAACTTCCAAGGTTTTCAAGGTCAAGATCACTCCTGGTTGCTCTCTATCTGTTCGTCAAGTTTTATTGCAATCAATTCAGCTATTTCGATGATTAGATGGGACACAGATAATTATAAATATTAGTGCTGTAATAGTGGAAATAATATTGAATGTTTTGTTTCTTGCGTTAATTTTCTTTTTTCTTTTTTTTTTTTTTTGTTAAATATGCGATATGAAGATAATACTTTGTTTTTAAAATTCAATCATTTTGTACACCAGAAATGGTTAATGTGTTATACTATATTTTTATAACAACTGTAAAACACACACATTATGCAAAATAAATTAATAGACTATATTATCTTATTAGCATGCAAATAAGCCCCCCCCCCCCCCTCATCTTGATAATAGACTATTATTTTCGGTTATTTCGATACTACAGACAGATTCTTCAATTTTATACATATATACATAAACACTCACGCCTATCACCCACCCAGAGGGGTAGGCAGAGATTACAGACTTCCATTTGGCACGATCCTAACACATCTCTCTCGCCTCCTCCACGTCCATATACCTACGCATACATGCTCGTCGGTTTAGGATACTTCTAATTTGGTCCATTTTCAATATATCGCCAATTTGGTCATTCTGCCGTTCACTTTTGCAGCATAAATTTTCTTTGTCACTCTTTCCTCATTCATTCTTTTCCCCATGACCAAACCACCGAAGCATTCATTTCTTAATCCTGGTCACAGCATCATCTTGCAAACTACACTCTTCTCTTATCACAAAATTTTTCACCCTTTCACTCAGATTCAGCCCTAAAATACTCCTTAACGACCGTTTCAATTTTATATATAAGAATAACGAAGGGTATACGGGTCTGCGGCATAAAGCCTTCCTTATTCCTCTACCCAAGAATTCTAATCCTTCCATCCATTCCTCCCTTCTTATTCAAGGTACTAGAGGCCTGTGTACATAAACAGCTATCACAGTTAATCATCGTCGCAAATAACCTGTTAAAGTGGCACCGCGAAAAAATGCACCTCCTTTCATCGAATAGTATAAGACTATGTAACCACTAACGAAGGTGGAATTTTGATATAGATAAATCCATGTCTTTATCTTGAATTTGCCTATTCAAAAGCACGGTTGTATAATTTTGACTCGATCATAATTATTTGCGAAAACATCTCTAAAAATCACTACAGTTGAAATTACAACGAAATTCCTTAATCTATATTTGGGAATCACTTAAATATATTCATAACATCAATATTCATAACTTTCTTGTTCATTATTTTGATAACTTAAATCAAACCCTCTCAGAAATGAGGACAGGCCTGTGCCCAGAAGTGGGACGTATATAGGCTGTAACTTTACTTTAAATCAATAATTTTTTTTCAATATTTTAAGATTCTGACTATTTCTATGCGGTCTTTATCGTCGCGGGCGCTACGCAATTTTAGACCTTATGAAGGCGTTTTGTAAGTTTTTATTAAAATGATGTATTCACTCAGATCAGTACGGCGATAGCCCGGGGTCACTTTTTCGATGTGTCGTCTTAAGCCCCTTACAATCTGGCTTCAGTACAGGCTTCGATCAACAATACCAACTAGATAACGGGTCACGTACAAAATCATAGCTAAATACTGTCCGCGTGAATATAACATTTGTTTCCTAAAGAAATGAGACAAAAAATTTAAATAGTTTTAAGTTCAACCTAATTACAACCATCGCATCCAGTAATAAAGTTATAAATCTTACGATCATTAGTCAAAAAAAGAACAAAGCTAGACAATAATCACTTGGAAATGAAAAGACATAAATTAAATAACAATTAGTGTGAAATCAACCTTAAGCAATAACAAATAAAGTTCTTTTTACCGTTATTGCCTTGCGAGCTACGTCGTTTTGTTATGTTTCTGTTCTCTTCTTCGAATTTGGTCCAGGAAGTAATGTTTCGCGTTGAACACTAAAATAATTTATAATATGATTATAAGTCTAATTAAAATTATTTTTATGTTTTAAGGCATTTATGATTGTTGGTATACATACTTTCCACACTAGCCATTAAATGTACGCATATAATATGTAGTATATTGATTGCATTTAATTAACTAATTCAATATATATCTATTTTAGTTTTTGTATGTATATATGTTTGTAGTATGTACAGTATATAAAAATATGTGTAATAGAAATAGAAATAGAAACTTTTTTATTCAATGTAGATTATAAAAATACTTATTGAAGGTCACTTTTTTAATTTACCACTGGTTCGCAAAAAAAAAACCTCTGTCCTGGGAAGAACCAGCAAGAAACCCAGCGGGACTATTTTTTTCCAATAATAGCTTACAATCATGTTTACAATCAACAACACAAGACAAATTAGAAATAGCTTGGTAGCGATCACCCTTCCCAGGGGTTATTATCATCTATAAATTCCTTAATATTATAATAACCCTTTTTATACAAACTTTGTTTAATAACATTTTTGAACTTTGTGTATGACAAATTTTGTATATTTTCTGGGATTTTGTTGTAAAAGCATATACATCGCCCCAAGAATGAATTACTGACTCGGTGGAGTCGAGTAACTGGTACTGCCAGCTTGTGTCTGTTCCTAGTATTTACAGAAGGAATATCACTTATTTTCGCAAAACTACTTTTATTTTTGTGTACGTACATTACATTTTCATAAATGTATTGAGAGGCCAGAGTTAATATATTAATTTCTTTAAATTTTTGTTTCAGTGACTCTTTTGGTTTTAAATTATATATTGCTCTAATGGCCCTCTTCTGTAAAATAAATATAATTTCAGTGTCAGTCGCGTGTCCCCATAGCAAAATACCATACGACATAATGCTATGGAAATAACTGAAGTAAACTATTCTAGCTGTTTCAACACTGGTAAGAGTTCTAATCTTTTTTACAGCATATGCTGCAGAACTAAGTCTGCTAGCTAGTTTTGATATATGGGGGAGCCATTGAAGCTTTGCGTCCAGTGTGATTCCAAGAAAAATGGTGGTATCAACAAGACTCAGTTCCTCCCCATTTAAAATTACATTAGTATTGACATGTTTAACATTATGAGTTACGAATTTCATACATTTAGTTTTAGTTCCATTCAAATGCAAATTATTAACATTAAACCAATTGAATAACTTAGCTACAGCATTATTTACTGCGTCGTAATTTAATAACTGTCTTTTTAATTTGAAAATTAATGAAGTATCATCAACAAATAATAATATATCATGGTTATCCCCTACTATGTAAGGTAAGTCATTAATATATACAAGAAACAGAAAGGGGCCAAGAATTGAGCCCTGAGGCACGCCCATTTGTACAATCGATCCAGAAGAACTCATACTATTAATAACAACTTTTTGTGTTCTGTCACTTAAATATGAAATAATTAATTTAAGAGCATCATTTCTTACACCGTAGTGTTGAAGTTTCCTGATTAATGTTTCATGGTGAACACAATCAAAAGCCTTGGATAGGTCACAGAACAAACCCAAAGCATCCTGTGAATTCTCCCATGCATTAAATATATATTTAATCAGCTCAACACCAGCATCAGTTGTCGAGCGACCCCTTGTGAAACCAAATTGATTTTTATGAAGTAATTTATTTACATTAAAAAAAAATTAACAATTGATCAAGAATAATTTTTTCAAAAATTTTACTAAGTGTTGGCAGTACAGAAATAGGTCTAAAATTAGCGGGGTCCAATGTACTACCAGATTTAAATAAAGGTATTACTTTACTATGCTTCATTAAATCAGGAAACACACCAGATTTGATACTACTATTAAAAATAATAGATAGTTGAGGTGCGATTGTATCTATTATAGACGCAATAACTTCAACAGAAATCCCCCACAGATCGGCGGTTCTCTTAATATCAATAGTCTTAAAATATTTTACAATATGTTATGATGATACTTTATGATATGTGAAATTCTTTGTACACACATTTACATTTTGTTTAAGTAATGATTCGGCGACGGTAGGAGAAGAATTCAGTGACTTAGTGGTTATGATCGGAATATCAGTAAAATATTTCTCAAAAACCATTGCAACGTCCTGATCTGATTTATTTAATTTATTGTTAAAACTTAACTGGTAGTTTGAATTGCGAGAGTTGACCTTACCAGTTTCACTATTAATTATACTCCATGTCATTTTAATTTTATTAGAAGCAGTCTTTATTTTGTTGCTTAAATACAATGACTTGGCTAAGGAGCACACTCTTTTAAATATTTTGGAATATTTTTTTTACATATTCCCTAAATTCGACGCTAGGATTATATGACCTTTCATTGTAAAGTTCATATAACCTTTGTCTACTCTTATGGACTCCTACCGTCGCCCATTCATTAAATGCTTTACGATTATTCAAGGAGAGTGTTTTAGAAGTAAAAGTATTATTAAATTCATTGCAAATGAGCTTAAAAATTTTGCATACAAAAAATTTGGATTATTTTGGTATGAAAGTAATGGAAGTTTTTTTACTATGTTACTTCTAAACTTCTCCAAACGATGTGCATTTACTGGAACAAACACTACTTTTTTATCTACTTGCTTTTTGTGAACATAAGGTAATGAAACAAATTGTCCACAGTGATCAGAGCTCAATTTTTGAATAATACATTTATTGAACGGCTTAACATTTGTAAAAATGTTATCTATACATGTTGCACTAGATTCAGCAATACGTGTTGGCTCCAAAAATAAATTAAAAAGACCATAAGATTTAAACAATGATCTAAATTTAATATTAGTGGAGGAAGCTTCTAGGAGATTGATATTAAAGTCTCCACATATTACAACAGATTTTATCTGTTTATTAAGCTTAGCGAAAACTTCCTCCATAATTTTTTCAAAAGTATCATATAATGA